ACCTACTTACTCATTGTTTTAAAAATTTACTTAAACATCATAACGCGTGTATTTTTTTTTGCGGTTGTTTTGCACATATACAAATGTATATGTGCCTAATATACATTATAAATAGAGTGGCGCTACATGTGATCATTAATGGAATTAATTTTTTTTTAATTAAAATATTGGTATGGATGATTTTTATAATTTATTAATATTAATAAAACCGTTATTATTTTGATAACTACGCAATCGCACCTTAATTGGATTTTTCGTGTTTTTCATACAAACATACTTACATATTCTTTTATTTAAATACTTTTTTCATATTATTCGTTTACGTATAACATTATTTTTGGAAATATCTTCAATTTTTAAATAATTTACAATACATTTCATATGTAACCCCCTTTATTCCAAATTTATGTAGGCGACCCAACAATATTAATAATAGGTTAGTAAAGTCTCATTTTTAAACCAATCTATTATTGGTAAATTAATATTTTTATCTCTTTTACTCTCTAAAATCTAAATGAAAATCTTCTTATACATAAAAATATAGGAATTTATTTAAAGCAAAAAAAAAAAAAAATTAACTTCCAAATATGATTGAATTTAGTAGTGGCACATTGCTTATGAGCTTACGACTTCTCTTGTACATATTCTTTTTTGTACCTTTAGGTTTATTTATTTTTCAAATGGTCGATTATCACCGAATCGCGTACATTATCACGTATCAATTTTTGTCTCTTCTCTACTTTTCTTTTCTTTGCTTATTTTTCTTTTTGATTATGATTAATTTTAATTCTAAAAAAAAAAAAAAAACTTTGAACAAAAATTGATTAATTTAATTGAGCTTAATGATTTTTTGTCTTAAAATGTGTCAAGCCCATCTATGGCGTTCGAAATGTCATTTTAAAAGAAAACATATTATGAAAGTCACAAAAAAAAAACAGAACGTGGAAACAACATAAAGTTGGTGTTTTGTTTTCGTACTTACGTTAGCGAAAAATAAAAAGTGTAGGAAAAAAGTGAAAACTAATTAAAATAAGAATAAGGTAGAAAACAAAAACAATTTTATTTATAGTTTAATAAAAAAAAGGTCAAAATTTATTATAGGTTAGTTTTAAAAAATGATATTGTGTTTGATTTAACTTAATTATGTTATTAGATCATAAACTTGGTAAATTAAAAATTCTATTTTATTTCGTATCTTTAAAAAATAATTAATTTTTTACGAGAATTAAGATGAAACAAAATTTAGGTCTTACGATACGAGCGAATGATATGACAACATAGTCTTAGTATAGAAACACTCTCCATTTTTAATTTTCACAAATAATTTGGAAATTAAATAAAGTCTTGTAAGCCTGAGATATATGTAATTTATCGGAGAATATAATCTGCAAATTAAGACGACCCTGCATTTAATATGATCTCAACTATACTTAATTACAATAAATACTGTCAGAATTTAAATGTCAGGTCTAATAGTGAACAAATATTGTTCATAATGGATTTTATTTGATTGGAATTGAATGATGTTCAATTCCAATCAAACAAAATCATCTTTGATCAAATTTTTATTAAATTAAATCAAACAAAATTTTAGAGTGTAAACGCAAACTCAAATTTTAATTGAATTGAAAAAAAAAACAACTTAGCCACATTATTTATTCATCAAATATAATAATTTTTGAAATGAAAATTAGAACGGAAATAATTTTATTTTAAAATTAATGATTTGAATGATTAATAATTTTATTTATTGCTAGTTTTTTGCCCCCTTTTATTGTCTCTATTAACATTTAATAGATTGAACTTTTTGTTTTGTTTGCATTTTTCTCTCATCATTTTGATAACCAATAAAAATCTTTAAATTGAATGGGTCAAACAACAATTAGCATTTTATAACTTAATAAAATATTGAAAAATATTCACACAATTCAAAATGGTTTTTTTTTTTAATTATCTATTCTTAGATTTATTTTAAGATTTTATGGTTTTTATTTTAGTTTTGTTATGATTTTCAAAATAATTTTTCTGTTTTTTCTAAAATTGAGATTTTTTTTTCTTATTTCATTAAAATTCATTATTAAAATTATCTTTATGATTTGTAAGTATGTATTTATGTATATAATTTAGTTGGATGTTTCGTGTACTTAAGTGTTATAATTTTGATCAGTCATTATCATCTCTAATAATAATATTATTGTATAGTGTAAATAAAGGCAGACAGGCGCTAAAATATTTTTTGATTCTTTTATATTAAAAATGCTAAAGCCGCCAATTTTATTTATTTATTTTTGCTTTTTTTTCTAAAAATTGATAACATATTATTATCATCATGTGAATAAAATTTTATTATTAGAATAATATTATCATTACTATTTAAATGGATTTGTAAATAATACACTTTTTTATAATTTTCAAATTAAAATAGAATAAAAAATAATCAAATTGATTATAGGTATAGGATTTGGGGAATAGATGTAAGGGGTGTGTGAAAAATTTTAGAAAAAGTTGAGATGGCAAATATTTAGAATATGTACATGTATGTTTGTTCAAAAACATGTAGAAATCAGCCATGACCCTGTATTTAAAATTCAATCAATTATTAAATTTTTATTGTGTCAAAATCTTGCTAGACAATTTTTTTTACTAAATAAGTACAATAAGAAAAATTCTATAAATTGTCGAAAGCCTATTTAATAATTTTCAAATTCTCAAAAATACTGAACTTAAACAGGATCTAAAATTACATTTTCTTTTTTGAAAATTAATATTTTAGATTTAACAAAGATACAAACCCGAAAATTAAATTAATATTGGTTAATAACTTGTTGCCAGAGTTCAGTTTCAATTAACTAAAACGATTTGTTTTTGAATAACTTAATATTTTTTTGAAATTTCATATTTCTTATTAACTCAAAACTTTAGTATGAGCAAATGATTAGAATACGAGTAATTAGTTAATTTTGAATTTTTTTTCTTGTTAGAAACGTAATAAATCGGAAAAATTATTCTTATTGATTCTAGCCGGTTTAATTTAGCCAGTTTTCTTATAAGTAATTTCCAAAAAAATATTATAGGCATTTTTTAATATAAGTACATAATTAATTTCAAATACTTATACAATTTTTTTTTCAATTATATGGAAAAATTTTCTTTGTCGCCCATAACCATTTAATACTCTAATGTCATTTACATTAAATATACTCGAAAATTTAGATCTTATATTTTACATATGCAACATTTTACTTTGTTTTTCACAAAGAAAACTTGTCTATAATACTTATGAATAAAAAAATCTTTAAGAAAAATTTTATTTTTTATTTTTTTTTTTGTTAAATTTATTAAGTACATACTTGGCTTTTATGTTGTAATTTATGCAGACCATGACACGATTCAAAAAAATGAAACAGAACATAGAACATGCTTGTTTGAAGAATATTATATATGTATTTTTTGTTCTAAAAATAAATTTGTAAAAGTGTTTCGCTGTTTTCATAATAATAAAAATTAAAAAGAAAATTTGAAAATCTCATTTTCATCTTTAATTTTTTTACTATTTTTTTTTTTTTAATAAACAAAGCAACATGAATGCATGCTGCAACATCAAAAACAACATTTTATTAAAAATCATATGTTACTTGCCACAAGAATAAAAAAAAAATAGTGATTCTTTTGATTTTATCTTTTTTCAGTCTCTTCTATATTCAGGCGTCCATAATCTTCTACATTCACATACTTATTTATTTAATTTAATTTTCCATAGAAAATTATGAGAAAACAAAAAAAGATAAAAATTTTTTTTTTTGACACCACAGAATCAATGAAAAATGAATTCAAATATTTTTCATTTCAATTTTTATGCTGTCTCCTTTAAAAATGTTAAGAATAATAATGTTCTTCCCTTCTACATACTTACATTTATTAAAAATATTTTGCTGTTTCCTTCAATCATTTCGCGTTTAATGAAATAATCCAAGTACATGATATTATTAAAGAAATATTTCATGCAGTCAAATCAAAATAAGTTTGACATTTTACATTTACCTAATTACATTTACTTGAATAGCTATTTAAGTTGACAATTAAGCCAAATTTCACACTCTTTTTTGTACATTTATGGCAACTATAAATTTTGAACTAAAGATACGTTAAAAGCGATTTCGTTTTATGTCAAATACTTGTTATTAACGTTAAGCGTGAATTTCAAGGCGTCGTAACATAAGCGTCAACTATTCTATATAATACGTTGCCAACGCAATAGATGGCCGTTTGATTTTTTTTTTTGTATTTTTTTAAATATAAAGTGTAATATGTCAATTTTGTAAAAATTGGTTAAATGCACACAATAATTGTAATTTTTTGTTGCACAATTAAGCGATCGATGTGATTTATAGGATTTTACTGTGTAAATATATTTTTGTTGTTAACATTTCGTTGTATTTTTGTTGTACTTATTGCAAATCACAAAGAAAGCCTAAATAAAGAAAACATAAAATTTGACAAGTTGTTACAGAATGTCAAAAAAAAGTAGACATTTTCCATATATTTTTGATGTTTTGTTAGTGTTGAATTTTTTTTTCCACATTTAACAAAGAGGTTTATAGTAGAATAACATTGCATTACGTTTTGCAATATGAAATTACAATTTATACACTGTGTGACTAAAACTAAATTATAGCCCTTAATTTTATATATGTATGTATGTATATAAAATTTTATCGTATACCTATATACATATGTAGGTACAATAAATTCGTCTTTAACCCGAATGTACATAAAGTAAATTTCTAAGGTTTAATTTATATTTAACGATTATTGGTTTTTATTATAGGCCACGATCTATTCACTTCGTAAATTCAATTAAATTTTCAGCAATAAAAATTTTAATTTTGAAAATTTATTTAAACATGCGATTTTCATGCAGAAACTTAAGTGAAATTATCAATGAATGAAATACGATAATTTTTTTACGATCTTATAAAAAAAATTCTTTTTATTTTCAGATAATTGCCTTAATTTTAAATTCAATTTGTTTTTTATTTTTAAATAAAAAACCAAATAAAATTTTTGAAAAAATAAAAAAAATAAAAACTGTGATATTTGTAAACAAAAAGTCAGTCATTTTTTTTTTAATTTTCGTATTGAAAAACCTAAAAATAAAGTGCACTTCTTCTTCGAATTAAGGAAAAATAAAATAAAAATTATCAAAAATGAAGTAAAAAAACTACAAAAGAAAAAACAATTCTTAATTATAAAAATCAAAAAGGAAAAAATTATTTGAATATTGGTTCATTTTGGGTTTTAAAAGCATTAATTAAATTTTATAAATAAAAAAATGATTAAATTAAAATCATTCTTTCGTAGAGGACAAGGTCCTTCAGGATCTAAAAATTCTACAAATCAACATTTAGATCCAAATCATCACAATAATAAACAGCAACAACAAATTCATAACTCAACAAATAATTTGAAAACGTCTAGTTCAGTATCAAGTCTTGATGGAATCGGTTTAAAATCTAATAGTAAAGCAACAAAATTAAGTCAAAAATTACACGGATCAAATGATAAATTACAATCACATCATCATCATCATCAAAATCATCATTTTAAAAGTTCATCAAAAGATAAATTAGATTCAAGAAACGGTTCCAAAGAACATATAGTTGATAGTTTGGATGTACAACAACAACAACAACAGCCTCCAGCACCACCAATTAAATATAAAAAGAAACAGCCAACTCAAATGCCTATCATACAACAGAATGTCATAGCAAATAATAATTTATTAGATCAACGAGATGTAATTGGTGAATATAATGAACGTAGTGTTGATTTAATAACAATTGATCCAAATAGAGAGGTACAAAAAATTTATATTTTATATATAAATTTTATTTATTAAATATAAAATAATTTTTTTTTTATATATTTTAAATTATATGTAGGCTACACTGCAACAACAACAATCAATGATGCAGGAATTACAAAGTCATTTAGAAAGACTGACTAGAGAAAAGATGGCTCTTGAAGCAAAAGTTACTGAATTATCAGCATATCAAAATGAAGTACAGCTTTTACGAAATGAAATTGCAAAATTACAAAGTATACAAGAAAAAAATGATTTAGAAATTCAAAAGCTATCAGATGAAAATGAAACTTTGCGAAATCGATTGCGAGATGTTGTTAATTCGCCATTATCAGATGCTGAGAAACATCAAATAATTCAAGATTCACAAAGATTACATAGTTCAGCGCCAGCGTCAATTGCCTTACCAAATGTAATTGTTAATTTTTATGTCATAATATGTATTGAGACCCAATTACTCAAAATATAATATTTATTTTAGAATCATGAAGTTGATGGAACTCCATGTGTTACTCCAGACTGGGATAAAAATTCATCGAGTAGTGAAATTTCAGTGGCATGTCTACAAGATAAAATTATTCAAGTAAACAAAAAATTTTTTTTTGTTTTATTTATTTTCATTTTTTTTACTTTTTTATTTGGTTAAAAAAAATAACTGTTATTATAGATGGAAGAAACACATTATTCAACGAATGAAGAACTTCAGGCAACTCTGCAGGAATTAGCTGATTTACAATCTCAATTAGGTGAACTTCAATCAGATAATGAACGGTTAGCTGAAGAAAAAGATGTCCTTTTCCAGTCATTGTGTAGGCAAACAGAAAAACTAGAAGATTCACGTAATCAAATTGGCACATTACAAGAGTTATTGTTACGTGAATCTAATCCAGCTGAAGTTGGTACAACTGAAAGAGAACAAAAACTTTTGGATTTATTAAAAAATGCTCAAGAGGAACGTGAAAGTCTTCTTATAAAACAAGAGGAATTAAATTCAGAATTAAATGAATTACGTTCCTCAATTGAAAAACAAACCAATGAAAATGGACGTTTAAGAGAAAGAATTTGTCTCTTAGATTCAACAGTTGATGCTGCTACTGCTGAACGCAAACAAATAGAATCACAATTAATTCAAGCCAAAGAAGATTCAGCTGAAAAACAAATAGAAATAAGTCGTCTATCAACATTGCTAGATAATGCGAGAGCAAAAATTGACGAATTAGAACAAGATCGTGCAATGGGTGATAAATCAGATTTAGGTGAACTACTGGATGCTGCCAGAAGGGAAAAAGATCTATTAGAGGCTCAAGTTGCTTCTTTACAAGAACAACTTTCAAAATGCCAGTGCGAGATTCAAAAACTAAAGGATCAGTTAGCTGGTATTACTGAAGAATGTAAAGTGGCACGAAATAATGCTAAATGTGCACTATCCGATTTAGAATATAAGTATGAGACATTAAAAGAGGAGAAAGATCAATTATGTAAAGATTATCAAAGCTTACAGGATAGTACAAATGAGCTTCAGGTATATAAATAAAAATAGATTAAAATTAAATTTAAATGATGAAACATAATATTATTTTTTAAATATTTTATAATTTAGGTGCAATGTAAATGCCACTTAGAAGATAAAACTCAACTTGAAAGTCTTTTATCAGAAACACAAAGACATTTAGGAGAAGCTGAGCGCATGTTAGCTGAAAAAGAAGAACAAATTCAAGAAGAAATTAGGAAACGAGAACAAGAGGTATGTTTAATTGTTTAAAGGGCATTTCATAAAATAACTTATGCATATATTTATTTTTAATTTTTTTTCAGGCTGAAGAATGGGGTCAATTCCAATCTGACTTATTAATGACTGTAAGGGTAGCAAATGATTTTAAGACTGAAGCTCAAATAGCAAGAGAACAACTTGTTATGGATAATAAGACGTTAAGGGAGAAAATACGTGGTTTAGAACAACAAATTGAAAAATTAAACAAACGTAAGTATATTTTTATTTTTAATTAATATTTGATACCATTTCCTTATTCAGGATTCGTCCTATGGACCATTTTCCAAAAAAAAAATTTAAACCCTTCTTAATTCGATGCTCTCAAAACCCCTTTTTTTTAAAAAAAAACTTCTGTTTTAAATACATAATACTCATATAAAACCTTTAATTCAAAAAAAAAACTATAAAACAAACGCACAGGTATGGATTTAGATTGCACGCATAATGGGAATGCTACTAGTAACGCACAGCCCAATAACAATAACGTTAATGCACAGCTTTTAAATTTAACTAACACCAATAACATACTTCATGTACAAAATCAGAATGAGTTCTTAAATCAAGTTGAAAAATTACGCCGCGAAATAAATTCTTTTGGATCTCAACGTAAAGCCTCAATACCAATTAATTTGGAAAGTCGATTTCGGTATTCTTTACCAATAAATCAACAATATTTATTATCAAATGTTGAAAAAAATCCAAAAGTGCATTTCTCTGAGCCTAAAAAACCATTAACAAAAATAAAAGATCGTACAACACTATTGTCACCAACAGATCCACATGGTATTTCACCAGAAGAAGATGAAACAACAATAAATCATGATCCAGGTTTATTAACACCTGAAAGCCAACCAAAATCTATTTTGAGAAATAGCAATGAAAATTTAGAACATGGTTCTTCGATATTTTCATTTACACAAAGCACTTTAGATTTAGCATCTCCGTCAATTGAACAAGATGGTTTTATCAAACCTGTTTTTATATGCCGTAGTACTGATGATTTAATTGTTCAAGATATTGATGGTATACAAAGATGTAAAGAAAAGAATTCAAAATACAAATTTCGACAGCATAGATCTCATGAAAATTTAATAGATGATGAAAATTCTATTGAACAAAAATGTGTCTCAAATGCTGAAAATATCAAAAAGAAACCGCAACCTTTACCAAGATTAAATAGTTTACCATCTGCTGAAGATGTTGGAGTATGTAATGAAACCTTTGTAAATAAAGTAGTTTTTATTCTAAATAAAGAAACAAATGAGTTTGTATTGGAAAAAAATAAGGATAATATGACAACAACAGCAGAAGAAGATTCTATTAGAAATGAAAATAATGATATATTATCAATTACAAAAAATATTTTTGGAAAAAATTCAGAGAAAATTCAACAAGAAGACGAAAATAAAATTAGAAACAGCTTAGAATCAAAAAAGAATATACCAAATTTTAATTTTGGTAAAAAATTGTATGAAAACAAAATGCAGTCCAGTAAGTTGAAAGGAAAACCTTTCACCTCAATGAATTTTCTCTAGTTTTGGTGTTGCCGATTGTAAAAATTATGTTACCATTATATTTTAATTTATTTTTTTGTTAGTTGAAAAATTGTTTTGATTGTTCTTTTCTTGTTTCTGTTCTTGCTGTTGCAAATATTAGTTTAATGTGTGTGTATGTTCAAAGTTTTCTTTTTTATTTGTTCATTTGTAATTAAGCGAGTTCAAAAACAATATATTTATGTATGTATTTCGCGTATTTAAATTAAAATTCACTCTCTTTTATTTTGAGTGTTGAAAACTATTATCTATTTCACTGCTTACTAATTTTATACTGGTGAAATCGGATTTCAAATATTATGTTCAATTAAGTTTTTGAATTCGTTCTATACAATTTTATTTTTCTTTTAAAATAATTTGTTTTAAAATGAATTGATCAGCTGTTATTGCGGACGAAAAACAGAAGAAACTATTTTTTATATAATTACAAAATGCAGGGCATGGATTTTTTTTTGAATTTAATATAATATCCTTTAATTATTTTATTTCATAATGTTAGTGTGAATTTTAATTTTCTGTCTTATTTATTTATTGATTTATTTTTTTTTTTTTTTGAATTGTCAAGCTTTTAGTAACCATCCATATCCAATATGTAATTAAAAAAAAAAACGTGTCAGTCCTTTCATTTTATTCATCAATACTTTTAAAAAATCAGATTCAAATCAATTTGGAACAAGAATAATACGTTCAATGCCATACAGAATACAAGAATAAACAATAATCTTTTTCTTTAATTCATTAAGGCTGTATTGTATATTATTTTAATAAGATTATGATAACAAGCACAATTGTTAAAAAAAAAAACAGAAAAAAAAATACAAAAAATTGCATATTATTTTCTTTTTTGGCTTTTTTTTTCATCCTGTTTTTTCAATCATAAATTCATACAACATATTTGTATAAAAAGTTCTCCCGAAAATTTCAATCATTTTAAATATAATAATAAAAAAATATATTAAATATTTAAAAAATAATGTTATCAAAAATTTTATAATTTTAAAAAAATTTCAGAGGTAACGACATCTGTTGAACAAGCAGCACAACAATCGTTATTAACTACAGTTCAACAAGAGATGGCAGCACGACGGCAAAAAGTTGGTATTTCACGTCAAGATTCAAGATTATCAGTAAAAAGCTTAATTGAGAGTATAGAAAATGTGAATAAACAAGTAATAATATCTGTTATATTATTAAATCTCAACCAAATATTAAAAAATATTAATATATATATTCTTTTTCTTTGTGTTTTTTTCCTTTATCTTTTTTATTTATTAGACCAAATCTAGTAATAATTTGACAACAGTAACTGTTACTGCTGATTCAAAATGTAGTTCATCATCTAGTTTAAATAGTATACCAACGGATGGTCTTAATGGTGGTACCAATTGTGGTAATATCGTTGGTGGTACAGGTAGTTTAACAAATAATACAACAATTGTACAATTTAGTACGAATAATCAAAATGGTAGCAATCGAAATTCAGATTGGAGTGAGAATGTAAGTATTTTAGAAAAAAAAAAATTATAGTTATACATAGGCATTTAAATAAAAAATTTTTTAATAGAATTTTATTTTTAATAATTTAAATAAATTTTATTTCATTTTTAGATTCATGCTCCTGTCGTTACCGGTATAACAGCAAAAAGTCCATTAAGAGAACAACAACAAACTGCTGGTACCAATATTAATATCACATTAAATGGTGGCCAAAAAAGTATAATTTCAGGTGAGGGAGATAAATAACATAATTGCTTTGAATAGTTAAAAGCAAAAAATAATTATTTAATTTAAAAAGTTTAAAGAATAATAATTTCAATTATATATTATTAACTAATATTAATAAAATTTAAAAAAAAAAACAGAAACAGAAAATTTAATGTAAAAATTGTGTTTTTGTTTTATTTTTTTTAACAAAACAAATTTTTAATTATATTGAAAATAAATTCAAATATTAAGGAAAATAAAACTGTTTTACAATGATAAGTACAAAAATTATTTAATTTTAAAATAGTTTGAATATTCTTAATTTTCAGCTGTGTCCACTTTTTAAAAGTGGAAGAAAGTAGTAATCTGCTAGCGTATAAGAATCTTAATACTATTTTATTTGTTATCTTTTTGTCTATAATAGCAAGAAATTTTTTTTTGTTAAATTTTAAAAATATTATAGAATATTTTATTTTAAAAGACAATCTGAATTATATTTTGTAAAAACATTAGGTCTTATTGAATATTATAAAAGGTGGGACATTTTGTGAGCAATTTGATTTAATTAAGTATTATTTCGTAAGATCCTTTAATTTAAATTTTAGATTAACGGTGATTATGATTGGCGAAAAAATAATTTTTATATTAATTAATGTGAGTATAAAATAAATTTATTTTTAAAATTTATTTAAAAATTATTCAAAAATAAACTTTTTTTTAAATTCTTAAATTTTCTCCCATCTTATATAGCTGTTTTTTGCTTTGTTGTGTTAAAATGTGTACTTATCACAGTAAAACCGTGGCATGCTTTCCATTTTTTTTTTGCTTCTTATTTATTTTTCTTTTCCTATATTTTTTTTTCTTAAATAATTGTTATTTTCCGAAAATAAATGTTATATATAAACATAATTTTGTTGTTGTCGTCAAATTTTTCATCAACATTTTTATAAAAATTAAATATAAATAAATAAAAAGAAAAATAAATCATTATAAAATAAAAAAAAAAAAAGTATAGAAAAAAATGTAAAAACAAAAAAAAAATTATTCTTTTACTGTGCAGATTTTACAAAATCGAAATCAAATGGCCTATTATTATTCAACAATAGTAGTAGTAACAATAACAACAATAATACAAATTTCAATCATAATAATAATAATAATTCAAATTCAGCAATTAATTATAATCATACAAATAATAATAATTATAATAGTAATTATACGACGAATACAAATTTAAATAATAGTAATAATTACAATAATAACAATAACTATCATGGACGTTTCATAAAGCAATCAAATAATGATGAATCGTCTTGTGTTGTTGTTTCATCGATATTTGGTCATAAAACAATGGATTCATTTGTAAGAAGAAATAGTTCCTCTGGAGATTTATGTATGTTTTATTGTTTTTTTTTTTATTATTATTTTAAAAATACATTTTATATATTATTATTATTATTATTTTATTAATTTTAAAATATAATGTAAAAAATGAAAATAATTAACAGAATTTAATTAGTATTTTATAAGAAAAATAAAAAATTGCACAATTTTTGAACTTCTTATAACAAAATATTTAATTTACTTTTCATAAATAAAAATTAATAGAAGTAATTGCAAAAAAAAATAAAAATATTCACTATAAATAATTTTTGCTATTATTTTTTATATTAGTTTTAAAAATATTAAACAGTTATCGTATTTATTATCGTAATTGAAACTATCTCTAAAACAATTAATTTTTTAAATAAAATAAAACAATTAATTTCGAATAAAATAATTAATTAATTTTTATTTATTTATTTTAAAAATTTCAATTTCAGTTTTTAATTAATTAAATTAGTATTTATATACAAAATTAATATTTATATAACAAAATTAAATTAATTATGGTTTCAAGGTATTTAAATATCTGAGAACAATTAATTTTATGATTTATTATAATTTATTTTTTTTTTTGCATTAAATCATTATTAATAAAATTCGAATTATCAAATTACTTATTTATTATATAAAATTTTCTTCTAAATTGTATTTAATTTTGTTATCTGATAGTATTTTAATAAAATTCAAGGAAGTTCAAAATTAATAAAATAATAATAAAAAATAATGAATTAAACCAAATTTAAATTAATAAATAGAAGTATAATTAATTTAACACAATAATAAATATCTAGAATTTCATTGAAATCAATTATTACACACTAGGATATTTAATTCACATTTAACTAAAAATTATTAAAGGGAGCAATTATAAAGATATGTAGTTAAATATTTTAAAATTATAGAATTAAATTTTTGAGTAATTGAAAAAAATGAAAAATACTAAAATTAGTATAGATATGTATAAATATATATATATTTCTTTTCATTATAATTAAATTAAATAAATATTAAAATGTATAAAAATATAATTAATACCTATTTATTGTATTATATTTATTATATAATAAAAAAAACATTAAAAATTTTAATGAAAATTAGGTATGAAGAATTTGTTTTTTTTTAATTTGGTGTTGGTTATTGTTGTTGCTACTGTTGTTGTTAATATTATTTTAACATCACTATAATATTATGAATGTGCACTACAATTTGTTACAAAATATCATAAAAAATAATAAAATATTAAAAAATTTTTTGTAAAATATAAAAAAACAAAGATCACTAATGCACATAAATTAAAATCTTAAATAAAATTCAATGCAAATTGTATATATTAAAAATATAAAATAAAATTTTTAACATATAATTTTATAATATTAAAAAACAAATATATACAGCACAATTTAAATATAATATTGTAAAAAAAAACTATTAAATATATAAAATTATGTAAATATTTAGAATGGCTACTAATATAAATTTTCAATGATATTCAATGGTATAGATATTGTAAGATTTATAATATATTACATATAAAATTAAATACAGATATTAAAAAAAAAAATTAATTAAATCGTATATAAAATGAAATATAAAATTAATTAAGATTTTAATATTACTGTACACTTTCTATGTACACTAACTGCATAAATATTTTTAAAATATATTATAAATGTAAATAAATTTTAAATTTATTTTAAAATATATTAATTTATTAAAATAAATTAATTCAAAATTATTGATATTGGATTAAAGGTGAATTATATTATATTGTACTAAAATCTGCACAATTAAAAAAAAAAAAGAAAAATCATATTAAAATGAAAAATTATATTATTAAATTTTTATTTTAAAAAATAATAATGTCATGTACATAAATTTATTTAAATTTTCTAATATTTATGATATAATTATTAAATATATTATTTATTTATTTATTTTTTTTTTTTATTTTGAATTTGAATAGGTGAAAGAAAAGATCCTTTAAATGCTTTAGTTAAAAATGGTGGTTCAAAACGTAATGCCTTATTAAAATGGTGTCAAAATAAAACAGTTGGCTATCGAAATATTGATATCACAAATTTTAGTTCATCATGGAATGATGGTTTAGCATTTTGTGCAATTTTACATTCATATTTACCAGATAAAGTCCCATATGATACATTGGGACCAAATAATAAAAGAAGAAATTTTTCATTAGCATTTTCAGCAGCTGAAAGTGTTGGAATTCCTACAACATTGGTAAAAAAAAAAGAATACGTATATTAATATTAAATATTATTAATATAAATTAATTATAATATAACAATAATTTTTTTTTTAATTAAAAATAAATACGAGTATTAATTGATTATAATGGTATTCCTTTTTAAAATTTAATTTTTGTTTTTTGTTTTAGAATATTAATGAAATGTGCCAGCAAGAACGACCTGATTGGACTCAAGTGATGGCCTATGTTACAGCCATTTATAAGCATTTTGAGGCGTAAAAATAAATTATTTTATTATATTTGTTTTAGGCCTAATTTTTTTCTTTTTAAGTTGTATGTTGTAATTAGAACAAAAAAAAAAAAAATCTCAATATGTTACTATAAAAATATTCGTATTATTTGTTTTTCAAATAAACAATTACCTAAGAAAAATTTGTAATTTAATAATTTTCTTTTCATTTCATTTCATTTTTAAAAATCGAAGTTTTTTTTTTTTTTTTAAGTCTTTTGATTTTATTTTCATTTGGTTGTTAATTTTATATAAAATAATTTATTAATCACAAAATTTTTACACATGCATCATATTATAACATATTATGTTTTTTGAATTTGTATAATTGAACGAAAATTATTTTTCAAATAAAAAAGAAAATTTTATAATTATTTTAATTGTAAAAATTAATTTTTTTGTCTTTTTCTTACGGTTTGAATTTTCAAAACTAGAGAAGAATAAGGTTAGCTTAAATTTAAAAAACCAAAATACATACTTTTGCCAATTTTATTTCTGAAAAACAAAAGAAAATTATTATTGTAATAATGTTTTTTTTTTTTAATTAAATAACTATTTTCTTACCAAAAAATTCAATAAAATTAATATTAATATAAAATGTAATATGATTTATTGTTACTACTTGGCTATCTTTTAGAAAATTTGTAAAATAAAATTAAAACTATTCTAGTTGGTATGCATATTTTCGAAAAAATAATTTAAACAAGCCATCCAAGTTCTTCAAATGTTTATAATATTAAAAATAATTTTATATTTTATACTTTTAAAAATATTGGGTATCTTCGGAATTACATCTACAACACATCAAGCACATTGTATCATCTTCTAAAATATCAAAAAGAAAATTTGACGATTTTTTATGTTCAGAATTTATTTGATGTTGTATCTGCAACTTTTTTAACACTGTAATATTTGTCAAATTGTGTATCCAAAATTTTTTTGATGCATATGTTTTTTTATACATTTATTACGATAAATACCACTTTTATTCGGTGATTCCGAAGAAACCCATTATTAACGTCTTCTTTTTGAAAATACTTATTTAATTTACATTTTTTTTGTAAAGAATTCAAATTAGTTTTGCCTTTTGTTTTTCTTAAAATAATAATAAATAAATTACCAATTGAAAATATTATAATTAAATAAAAAATAAATTAAATTGAGTCCAAAAATTTTTTTGGAAACATTAAAAATTTTTGAGAATCCAAAACGTGATAGATATAAAACAATAAACAAAAACAAATTAAAAAAAATTATAATTATAAAATGTAAAATTAAAAGTAAAAAATCTTAAATCTTGAAAAAAAAAAATTAAATTAAAAAATTACTCCTGTTACTATATTTAACTCCTACTTCTACGTATATACTTATATTATATTACATAAATTACAAATAATAAAATAATAATATTATATTTTAGGATATAAAACAAAACAAAACAAAAAAAAAGAAATTATTTAAATACATCTGCATATTATATATAAAAATATATTTTATAATTACAAAAAAAAAAAAAACAATATATTTAATAACAAAAAATAGATAATAATTAAATAGATTAATATAGAAGTCTTTTCTCACTAGTCTTCTCTATTTTTAACCCTTGAAATTTTCCCAATGAAAAATAGTTTGTTCTTATTTTGTTTTTTTTTTTTATTAATATTTAAACTATATATAATGTATAATAAATATTATAAATAAAATTTTAAAGAATTCAATTAAATATTATTATGAAATTATTATTATTATAATAATATATATTAATTATAATAAGCTAAATATGTTTATTAGCATTAAAAAATGTGTTTGTTTTGTAAAGTTTTTCTATTTTCAAATATTTTTTTTTCTATAAAATTTATGATATATAAAATGTAAAATTTAAAATGGAAATATTATAAAATTAATCTTTTAAACTAATTACTTGAAGTGATTCAAGATAATGCTTCAATTCCATAAATTATAATTAAAGTAATATATTCAATAAAATTTGTAAATTTTTTCCGGAACAAAATCGTATTTTGAAATATGAAATTTAATGAATAATATAATAGGAGATTTTCGATAATTTAGTTATACACTTATAGTGCTGTCTTAAATCTTAAAAATCTTTGTTTGTGCATCACTACAAATCTATTAGAAATTAACTAGATTATTTATATCTTATTTTTGCAGCATTTAAATGAAAATTTTTAAAAATGCTTTGGAATTTTATTAAGCATTCTACGATTTTCTAATGAACTTCTTTTGAAGTAAACATTTTGAAAAACTTGCTTTATCTGAATATAGAGCTGAATTTTCAATAATTTTCTTAATTTTAAATAATATTCGATCCCATCAGGATTGCTTTTAATTAAAAAATAATTAATAGAATAGTATTAACTATTCTTTTTTTTTAATTTCATTATTTGATTATTATTCATAAAAGCAATTATGCCATTAATATGTTCAATTAAGTATTTCTTTATTACTAATATTTTATTTAATAATAATAATAATAATAATAATATTTTTAAATAAATGTTTCCATTTCTTCTTCTTTTGTTTTTAAGTAAACTTAATTTGCAAATCAAAAATTAATATTGTTGAACAAAATACTTTATTATATATTTATATTTTAATAATATTGTAATGTAAAAAATTTTACAAATTAGTCATAATAAATTTTTTATTATGATTATTTATTTGTTTTAATTAAAAATAATTAAATCAGATTATTAAATTTGTTTTAATATAATAAGAACATTAAATTTTTATTGAAAATGTAAATTTAGTTAATTCATATAATTTTTATTATAAAATTATGAATATTTTAAAATTTAATTAATTTCCGATTTAATATTCTTTACACCCTTTACATTCAAACACAATTTTTTTGCACAAAAAAAAAAAAACAAAAAAAGTTTTATTTAATTTTTTTTTAATGCCTTTTATAAGACTGTTAAAGTATTTTTATTTTTTTTGTATAGTTTTTAAAAAATATAATAATAAAGAAAATAAATTAATTTTTTTTTTATTTCATAAACTAAAACATTTATCAATTGTTTTTTATTTAATTTAATTCAAACTTCATAATTATCTTATTCAAATTTCAAATAATATTCAAATAATTTAAGAAAAAAAAATAAGTTATTAAAAAAAAATATTTAAAGGTCATTTAATTTGTAAGAAGTACGCAATATGTGTACAAAATATTCATTATTAATTTTAATTTAACATCTTTATTAATAATTAAAAATTTTACTTACAATTCAAATAATTTTCCTTTGTATATAAAATTTTCTATTGAAAAATTGATTTTTATAAGTTTTATAATTCAACTAACATGAATATTTTAATGAATTTTTTAAACTAAATCAATCAAGTAAGTTAAAAAACAAAAGAATTAAAATTTTTCTCTTCGAAATTACATTTTTCAAAAATTAATTATTTTCTTATCATAAATTTTTTATAAATATATTTGAGATTTGTTTTTCCCTTTTATTTTTTTTTTTTCAATTTATGAAAATTTATTTAATTTTTTTATAAACATAAATTAAATACAATAATAATTATAGAGAAAAAATAATTAAAACGAAAACAAAAAAAAAAAAATTTAAATTAAAAGAGAAAGAAAAATATTTTTTCAAATTAGATATAAATTTAAATTAAAAAAAAGAGAAATATTTGTAGTTATTTTAAATAGAGATTAAAAAATTATACATATTCTATATAATAATTATAATTTTTCAAATAATAAAAAAAAAAAAAAACAAATAAATGAAAAAAATTAAATAAATATATACATTATATAATAAATAAATGGTATGAGAAAATGCTGATTAGTAAAAATTCAAATTAAATGTATTCATTTTTGTTTTATTTTGAAAATAAATTTAATAACCTATTTTTTTTGCTCGTAAATTTTGTCCTTAACAAAATTTCTTTTTTGCTTTTTTTTTGAATCCTGGTCAGTGCTTCATCACGAAATCTTCGAGATCATCAATTGAAGTTAAATTGAAAAAAAGGTTTAGGTTATTAAAAAACCTAAATTTTGGAGATATTTTTATATGTAAAATTTAAGAATTTTAAAAATCTTATTTCGAAGTATAACACGAAAAAGTATGACAGAAAAACCATCATTTTCAAAGATAAATTTTCTCTTTTTGGCAGCTGATAGATCCTGATATAAAATTGATTGGTAACTATAATTTTTATCTTATTTCTTAAATCATCATACCTGATATATCGAAAGTCAATAAAAATACCAATGTAAGTTAGTTATGATAAGTTAATCGTGATATAACAAAAGACTTTTCATGAAATTTCAAATTTTTGAATGTTTTGATTACCTCATTTGGAATTTCAATAATAATCCGTTAATTTTTGTATTAATAAATATTAAATATTTTTTCTTGGACACTGAATCGAGGACAAAGAGTTTTTCAACACTACAAATCTATAACTTCAAAAATTGTAGCAAAAATATTTTTGGAGATATTAAAAAAAATCTTTTGAAAAACTTTAAACGCGTTTTCTGGCTAAACTAGAAGAGTTAGAGCGATTTTAAGTGTTTTTTGTGATCACTGGGAGTTCACAGATTCCGCCAATATATGATAATAGGATGTAGCAAAAATATTTTCGAAGATATTTAAAAAAATCTTTTTCAAAACTTTAAACGCGTTTTCTGGCTAAACTAGAAGAGATAGAGCGATTTTAAGTGTTTTTTCTGATCACTGGGAGTTCACAGATTCCGCCAATGTATGACAATAGGATGTAGCAAAAATATTTTTGGAGATATTTAAAAAAATATTTTGCAAAACTTTAAACGCGTTTACTGGCTAAACTAGAAGAGATAGAGCGATTTTAAGCGTTTTTTGTGATCACTGTGAGTTCACAGATCCCGCCAATATATGATAAAAGGATGTAGTAAAAATATTTTTGAAGATATTTAGAAAAATCTTTTGCAAAACTTTAAACGCGTTTTCTGGCTAAACTAGAAGAGATAGAGCGATTTTAAGTGTTTTTTGTGATCACTGGGAGTTCACAGATTCCGCCAATATATGATAATAGGATGTAGCAAAAATATTTTTGGAGATATTTAAAAAAATATTTTGCAAAACTTTAAACGCGTTTACTGGCTAAACTAGAAGAGATAGAGCGATTTTAAGTCTTTTTTGTGATCACTGGGAGTTCACAGATTCCGCCAATATATGATAATAGGATGTAGCAAAAATATTTAGATATTTTTGACAAGCATATTTTGGAGATATTTAGAAAAATCTTTTGCAAAACTTTAAACGCGTTTTCTGGCTAAACTAGAAGAGATAGAGCGATTTTAAGTGTTTTTTGTTATCACTGGGAGTTCACAGATTCCGCCAATATATGATAATAGGATGTAGCAAAAATATTTTTGGAGATATTTAAAAAAATCTTTTGCAAAACTGTAAACGCGTTTTCTGGCTAAATTAGAAGAGATAAAGCGAT